ACCACCGCCACCATCCTCATCATCACCACCACCAATAACAAGAAAAACAGCAACACCATACATCACACAGCAACAATAATCAGTATCAATTCAGCAACCAACACCACAATGGAAGCGAACATCAATTTGCCTAACTTGTCTGCTCTATTGTATACCATTCCAGTCTTTTGATTAAACGCTTTTCTCTTACTGCAAAAAAATTACTATACCACTGTACCTTCAGGTAAGACGTTAAAATTTATTATGATAAGTTTTACCGGTTAGCTTCGTTATCCAGTGCTCGATGAACTTGTTTATAAATGATTATTTAGTAACTGAGATGTCTTATTGAGGGATCTTGGGTCCCGCAGTTTTCACTCCTGTTCATATACCCAAGTAAACTTCATTCTGTTCCGTTTTTCCCATTATTGATACAACAGTGGTGCAGTGAAATAGCATTCCTAGGTAACTGAGTTCAAAGAGTCACATATCTCAGTCCCACCAAGCACGAGAGTAGTGTCTACTGCATTCCAGATGTAATAAAGATGTGTAACAAGATAGCTTTACAATTCAGGTTATTCGTTTCACTTGTGAATCAGAGAAGAGCGAACTGTGTTATTGATAAAGCGAAACGACAATACCATTCAAAGAAGCGTCTTCCCCAAAATACATGGCCTGGACAGTATACGCATTTTTGTAGCTTTGTTCCCCTGAAAGAAGAACTTCAGGTGAGGTTCAAATTATACGTCCTTGATATTTGTTAACATCATTCCACTGTGATGAGTATATTTTGCATTGTTTTTGTTGAACAACCATTGGAAATCAGCTGAATCCGACGATTCCGTTCTGTGCGGGATATTTGAACGCATCATGTGCAAAAGTTACGGGAACAAACAATGATTGTAATATCCTCTATCCACGTGTTGCAACCGATACTTCACGTTCCATGACGTCATCGATGTGCGGACTGTCCGCATTCAATGGATTCTCCGTTAAACCATCCATGATGACCAATTCTCCGGCTGCGACCACATTACCTTTTGGATTGGGTCCACTTCCATCCGGACTCTATCCAACTGTGACACCGAATCACCTGATTCCTGGAAGCTCTGTTTACACAAACAACACATTGAAATATGGTCTGGACTCGGGGAGCACAAATTCCTCGATGCGGTTCGCTCCTTCGTTTTCGTCTACCGCCTCTTCCTCTTCGATGGCTATACCATCTGCCACGACCTACTCATTGTCGGGCTCGGCCCAAACAGTATCCAATCGACCAGGTCAGGATAGTTTGGCTCCGAATGTCACCGGTTTGTCTACTACACATCAGTCTTCGGAAATGAGCAATTCACGCATGGGTTCACAATCAAATCAGCCATTTATGAACTATATTCGACACTGTACGCGAGCCAGTCCAGTCACAGTGAGTCATGAGTTTGATGACAGATTAACTGCCAATTTGTACGTTCAGCATACCAATTGAATTTTTAGGGGTAGCTTGACAACTACCAAAAACAAGCGAATTCGTTTCTCGAAGTTTCGAAACATACTTGATAATATTTATATTTCAAATGCTAATAAAAGTAATAAAAGTGAAAATCAGTGATGATACGTAAGCAAGATCATACCCTGCAACTCTTGATTAGCTTATATGATTGGAATTGATAACATCTTTTTTTTCTGGCTTATGTGGTGTATCCGCGTTTCACACAGTGCTCTCACATTCAGAATCTTTGAATAAATAAGCTATCAAACATGATTTTTTCCTGCAGTAGGTAGAATGATTAGACTTCCTGGAATACCTTTTGGAATGCAGTCCCGGAGCAATAAATTACTGTCTGTTTCTACCGCCTGCCCATTGAGAACAAATATCAGTAAAGGAATATGCTCAATACACATCCATAAGCAATAAACGTTTCTACTTTTTTCAACTATCCTATCAGAATAAAATTATTTTTGAATATACGTGGTAATCTTCATCCAAGATACTGGTTTATAATATAATCTTGATACGGTACTTTAAGTTACTAGTAGTGCGAATTCCGATAGACAGATTGTTGATTTTCCTATCGAAAGCTCCAACAGAATCAGACGAGGATAACCGTTTTGGTAACTGACTCTATGCGAGATTTCATTCTTGCCGGAAATAATACCTCCCGAGAGTGCGTTCCTTCATCGATCCCCTGTTGTGTTTTGGTGCACCTGTAGCCGATCTGAGAAGACAAAGACATCAGTGTACAAGTGACTTACAAAACTGAATCAATAAAAACAAGCGAAAACGCAAGTGTGACATTTAATCGGATTGCGTTCAAACAGGACAGTCAAGCAAGCAACGAATCAGTTAGATAGGATATTTCAATACTGACCACGGATTGGGTGAATTGAATTGATCTTGTAATGTAGTAAATGCATGTGGCTAGTTTGAGTGGGGTGGAAGCCGGCATCGACCAACCAATCACTAGCTCGATTGGCAAATGCATTAAATGTTTCAATCTGCTCTAGACTAAAACACAATGAACAGGCACTTTCTCCGGGCGCAGATACATTAAGTAATGATGCAACTATTGTTGTCACATGAGTATGCTTACTGGTGTGATTTTATGAAGAGGGTACACATGCATCGCGAATCATTTTCCTTGCACACAGTATTAACCATGAAGGCACCACTGCGCTGGCCTTATTGTACACATATCGCGTTCCGGTGTCCGGGTGTAGGCGATTGGCTAAATAAGATTTCGGATCGATGAAACAACACACAATCCAAACCATTTTAGAATCAATTAGGGAAACAAAACAACAGAGTGGCGAACAAGCTCGTTTTCAGTGATTCGTAGTCATGCCAAATACATCACAATAAATATTACGCTGTTTATATATACAGGTCTAATCGAAACTGAAGCAACAGGTCCCCGTGAAATACTTGTCGGTTCGTATTGGCAACAGCATTTATACTGAAGTAAATATTTTTCAAAACTAGTAGTAAACAAGTCTTGGAGAGTCTTTATATCCGTGATTTTCCTGAATCGTTTATACTCAGCAAATGGAATGGTTCAAAATGTAGCGGGTACTCCCATTTCGTCAGTAGTGGTTGACCTAAACCATGATGAGTTAAGAGNTGATTTTCCTGAATCGTTTATACTCAGCAAATGGAATGGTTCAAAATGTAGCGGATACTCCCATTTCGTCAGTAGTGGTTCACCTAGACTATGATGAGTTAATAGCTAACTAAAGAGAATGGAACAGTCTTTATTAAAAACAAATTAACATTGATAATAAGCAAGATGTAAAGTTTGTGTACACTAGTAGTCGATTAGTCTGTTTTTGTTTTTTAGAACTTTTTTGAGTCTCTTCGGTGTCAAACCCACCAACTTTGTTATGAAGTCATTTTCTCTGTTGCGCTCCAATACGTATCGCACTTTTGCCTCCAAGGTCCAATGCATAGGTAGCACATTGACCTCTCTCTTCAATACTGACAACAGATTTTCAATCATATTGAGATCCGGGCTATTAAGGGAAAGTTGCATGAACTGGACCTTAGAGTCACGACGCATCTTTTTGAAGTCTAAAAACAACTAATAACTGAACCAGACTGCTTAAATAAATAAATTTACTCATCTCTCGTGAAACATGACACGAAGCGTTATTCTAAAAAAACGATAACTTTTCCAGACGATTCTTTTTCATGAAATTGCAGAAAACTTTTCGAAATTATTGATTCAAATTTTGCACTATTCATGGTGCCTTTGACTGATGTCCACCGACAAGGCTGACTATGTTTTATTCCTACCCAAATGAGTAATCTCGACGAGTGAAAAGCTCTTCATTTGGTGGAATAAGTTCTTTTGGGAAATTCTCACTAAAAATGACTTTTGTGTGAGCCTTCCAAGGTTCGTCGCACACCATGCACTCGCCGGCGAAATTAATCGATCGCCAAAATGACGCACGTCGAGATTTGAATTCTTGGGCAAAATCAATACGCGCCTACCTTTGCTGCGTGCTCAATGCTGGCCTGACTTCAGCTGAAACCTGACACATCCTAAATTTTTTCATTCAATTCTGCAGAAGGGAGTACGAATGGCGGGGAAGATCTTCCCGTTGGATAGACGACAACAATTTTCAGCAATGTTTTTTCAGAGTAATACGAATCAAGTCGTCTCCCTGTTTGGACTTACTCGATTTACGGCCCCCACAAGTTTTTCGGGTTGTTGTTTTCCCGTGGACTATCCTGTCACTTGTGCTTTTGTTAATGTTAAAGCATTGGGCAAGATGTGATATGGAAAATCCCAGCTTGTGTGCTCCTGCAATTCTGTTTCTGTCCCTTTCACTGAGATAACGGGAACTTTTGGTTTCAAGCACTGCTTGCTTCATTATGGTGACAACAATACGAACATTCAAAGCTATGCACAAAACTGACCTTGATTTCAAGGTTGACTTGATTGAGGTGGTATTTCCCGAATTGATTGAGTTAGATATCAAACATATATTATTATTATGAAACCTTATTTAATGCAATTTCTCCCGGTTGTGATAGAATTTCATTTGGTTATCAAATAGCGTTGCTATAATGGATTATACATTAGATAAAATAATGCCTCATTACAAATAAGGGAAATGGCAAGGGTTGACGGAAATAATTTGGGATAATTCTTGAGTCATTCTTATTAAAAAGTATTGCGTTGTCATACTTGACACATTTCGCGATTCTTATGTTCAGATCATTTATTCTTGGCACTCAAGGTCAGGCACGTTTAATTGACAATCACGCAGCCCAGAAACTACGTACATCGAAGTAGANCCTAAAGCATTAATATGGGTGATAAATATAATGAAAGTCCCTTTGATCACAAAGAAAATATTTTGGTGCATCACAATCGGCCAGTGGGCCAGGGGAGCTTAAGTGCCTGCACAAATTGTTTTCGGGTACACAAGCAGATAGCAGATAGAGCAAGGAAAATTTGTAGTGAAGACACAATAGAAGAAGAGCTCTGGTTCT